AGACTGGAACCCTGTGTCTCAGCTGTGTGAGCTTGGCCAGCCACCTTACCCTCTCTGAGCCTCATTAACTTTATCTGTAAAATGAGGCTAATAATAGAACCTCACACCTCTGAGGGTTGTTATGAGGCTTAGGTGGAATCACTCAGGCAAAGTTCTTGGCGCAGTGCCTGGCACACGGTAAGGACTCAGCCAAAACCACAGTTATCAGGTTTATCATGAGCTCCTACTATGGGCAAGGGACGGTGAGAAGGACGGAACTGATAGAGATAAATACAGCCAGTGGTAAATGTTGTTAATACAAGGGCCTGATGGAGTGCCAGGAGGGGGGAACCAAGGAGGGCTTACTAGAGGAGGTGACCTGGGAGAAGGAGCAGCATTTGAACAGGTTGAAAATGTAGAAGAGGAAAGGGAGGGTAGTTCCAGTTGAGAGACCCAGACTGGGGAGGCAGGGTGTGTGCTTGAATGCACCTGCTAAGGACGAGAAGAGATGGTCAGAGGTACCGATGGTCAGTGAGCACCTACTCTGCCAGGCTCAGGGATCTAGGTACCATTGCTTCAAGGTGCAATCCTATTGTTATCCTTATGTTAAGTGGAAGCATAGGAAGCTCGGAGAAATGATCCAAATTAGCTTTCCTGATGCTCACACAGCTTCTAACAGAAATTCATTCACAGTTAAGGCCCAGATCTTAACTGTTGCAAATAAGCATCTCTTCTCTGGGCAAACCAGTGGGAGAGTAGCTTCAATAGTGGGTTGGGGGCCAGTTCTCAAAAGGGCTTCAAATGGCACAAAAATGGAGCTGGATTTTACAGCAACGAAATGGCATAAAATGCAATGGCGATTCCATGGCAGTGGGGAGCTATGCAATGCTCTTGAGCAGGGGATGTGTCTGGAAGAGGTAAATCTGTTAATGGTTTAGAAGGCAGCTGGGGCATCAGAGAGGCTGGAGTTGCGAGGCCAGTGTGGTGGCTGTGGCAATGGGCCCAGGGGGAGGGTCTGGAATGTGGTGGGGAAAGGAGTGGCTCATCCCTCCATGGACCTCAGTTTCTCCATCGGAAAGCTGAAGGGGTTGGACCAAGATCTACACCCTGTTGCAGCCGTCTCATCATCTTAGTGAACATCTCCCTGGTTGTGTGGGACCTCAGCCACCCTCATGGGCCGTTAACCCGTGAAGCCCTGTTTATTTGACAGAAGGCTGAAGTAGGACCCTCTTGGCGAAAACGCTGGTATTTATAGATGCCAAGGGGGAAGGCAAACAAATAGAACCCCTTGTAGTCACTTCCTACCCTGGCCTCAATCGGGTGACAATAATCACTTGGAACTGTTTAATATTTTGATTGTGGAATGAAGGCCAACAGCCTCTCCCTTAGCTTCCCCATTTTCACTGGCACCTCCTTAGAATAAGGCCAGGACTTAGTCCCAGCAGGGAGAGAAGAGCAACCATTGGCATGAGCTGCTTGCCTGGACAGTCATAGGTCCCATCTCCAGGGTCGGGACCTCAGAAATCTATGTCAAAGCCAAGATTTCACACTTGCCCTGTTCATTCATTCAACAAAATGTATTGAGCACCTGTTAAATGCCATACACAGAGCTGGGTGTCTGGAATGTAGTGACAGGCCAAATAGACATGGCTCTAGACCTCATAGGTGTTTACTTTGGTGGCTGGGTAGGGGAACAGACCACACACAAACACACCAATAAGTGAATACACTGCAGTTGGGGTTAATGCTCTAAAGGAAACATGGTAAAGATTATTGGTGGGTACAGGACAGTGATGGCGAACCTATGACACGCGAACTCATTTTTTTGGTTGATTTTTCTTTGTTAAATGGCATTTAACTATATAAAATAAATATCAAAAATATAAATCTTTGTTTTACTATGATTGCAAATATCAAAAAATTTCTATATGTGACACGGCACCAGAGTTAAGTTAGGGTTTTTCAAAATGCTGACACGCTGAGCTCAAAAGGTTCGCCATCACTGGTATAGGAGGAGGCTTCCTTGAGAAATCATGGAGGGCATCTCTGAGGAGGTGACCATTAAGCTGAGACTGGAAGGGTGAGAAGGAGATAGGCCTGCAAAAAGTCAAGGAAAAGAGGTTTCTGGAAAGAAAGAACAACACATGCACAAGACCTGCAGTAGGACATGGCATGTCTGAAAAGCTAAAGGAAGGCTGGAGCGGCTAGTTTGGTGGCTGAAGGGAGAGTGGCCTAGGTTGAGGTCAGGATGGCAGGAAGGGACCAGGTGCTGATGCTCTACAGTCTCAGAGCTCTCAGGAAGGAGTGAAGATTTTGCCCTAAAAATGATGGAAAACCTTTGGAAAATTTTTAACTGACTCATCCAGCATCTATTCTAGTCCAACTTCCACTTGTGTGAAACTAGAACATTCCTTCCAGACTCTGGGCTTCAGTTCTCCATCTGTATGTCTGGTCTCTAAATGTCCAGTTCAGATATTGTAAAATGCTAGAGCCTCACAAGGGAGGGAAAATGGGCTGGCCCAAATGGACCGGGAGACATGGTGACCAGGGAGCCACATTTGCAGGAGATCCAGCAGGGGAGGTAGGGAGGGGGGGTGGAGGTGGTGCGGGAGGGCGGGGGGGAATGGCGGGGGGGGGGGGGGGAGGGGAAGCATGCATGACCTTCCCTCTGCCATCTGAGACAACAGCATGGACACAGCGAACACCCCTGAGAGAGCCTGTATCTTCCTTGCCCAGAAGGAAAAACTGAGGCCAAATAGGGGAGGGACTCGGCCTCTTTCTCAGGGAGGATCTGTAACCCCACCCCAATTCTGCCTGAATCTCAGGAGCACTGGTCAAGAGCCAGATGCCCACTGGGCCGTCAGGCAGAGTGTCTAGCTTTCAGAAGGCCACAGCTCTTGCCTCCTTGGCAGAATGGGTCCTACCTGACTCCTCGGGGCAGCCACTTTCCTCGGGAGCCCCCTTGCCTCCCTTAGCCCTTCCTTCTACTGTCTGGGAGCAAAGGGAGAACAGCAGAGTTATTCCTAGGCCCTTTTATGCCTGAGAACAACTGTGTCCAAATGACTTTTGAGACCAGAGGCTGGGTTGGGCTCTCAGCTCCTGTGCGAGAGAAGAGGTGATTTACCTGACTGACATCACAGGGCCTGCAAGCTCCCCAGGCCTCTGACCCCCACTGGCTCACTCTCTCCGCTTCACACAGTGAGGGCCTCTCTGCAAGTCCCGCCCCTACAGAACCTCCCCATCCATCTCCAAAGCCACCCAATCAGCAGGAAGCAACAACTGGAATAGTGGAACAGGAAATGCAGGCTTCCTTCTCCAGGGAACACACACAGAACTGCAGGACCCTGAGGGTGTGGCCCCACAACCCTCTCTCATATAATCTAATGCGAGGATCTCAACAGGGGTTTATGGATAAAGCTTCTGGGGCCCCTAGAACTCCTGAAACTGTCTACCAAATTAGGCAACACTCTTTTCTAGAGAGAAGAATTGTGCTTTCCATTAATTTTTCAAAGAGGTCCTTTTGTAACTCAAACAAAGATACAAGGCCCTTCCCTTTCCTGTCAATGGTAAAACTGAGACTCAGAAAAAGATGACTGACTTAAGAGAAGCTGTTTAGAGAATTAGCCCAGAGGCTTGGTGGTCAGTCTGCCAGGTTTCAAGCCCCAGCCTCACCATTTGCTGGTTGTACCGCTTTGTCCAAGTATTTAACCTCTCTATGGCATCCTTTCTTCATCTTAACACTGGGGGTGATAACAGTACCTACAATAGTGTAAGAATTAAATGAGTTAACACATGCAAGACCTTGGGTCAGTGCCTGGTCCATTAGTAAGTGTCTATAAATGTTAGCCAAGGTCACTGAGACAAGGGGCAAAGCTGGGCCTCCAGTCCCAGTCCTCGGAGGCCTCTGGAGGCAGCTAGGAGGTTATGTGTCCCTGAGCCTCCCAAGAAGGTGGTCTGATTGCAGCCAGACCTGTAGCTACCGATCAAGCCTTCCCCAGCATCTGCCCCCTGGGTGAGCTGGGCATGTGTGGAGACTTGGGGGTGAAGAGAGAGAGGAGGTGGGGAAGTCCCAGGCTCCCTCCCAGCTGGGGGAAGGGGAGGAGGGGCTGGACATCAAAGGGTGGGCAGGCCAACTTCCCGCCCACCAGGCCAGGTGGCCTTTGTCAGGACAGGCCCGACACAGTCAGGACAATGGGGTATCGTGTTCACTTTCCGGCCAACAGGAGTCACTACCGAGCCAAGGCGCAGCCTGTTACATGACAAAGGGGGGGCCTATAAAGGAGGTCAGGCCGCCCCTCATTAAAGCTGGGCCTTTGTCCTGCCCCCTCCCCTGCCTTTGAAGAGGGTGGATCAGAGAGGCCTGCCTGGGGGCAGGAGGTTCACAGGCTCAGGAGCCAAACAGCAGCCACCTTCCCAACTGCTCCTGCTTTCCCCTCCCCCAGGGTCAAGAGTTCAGGAAGGACCCTGGATGGGAAGGTAGGGAGCCCCCCAAGCGCCAATCTAACCAAAGAGACTCTTTTTCAGTCCAGATGATATGACTCACCCATCTCTTCACTGTCGGGGGGATTGAGACCGGGAAAGGGAAGTGCCTGGCCGCATCCTTACCAGCAGGGCACCTTCCCTTCTGGGGTGGGTGTGCAGCCTCCGCTTGGGGTTGGGATGGGAGTAGAAGAAACCGGTGTGGCTAACAGAGCCCTGGGATAAAAGTCTGGGCAGCGTTCTAGTTCCAGCCTTGCCAGCACCCACACTGCACGCATCTCCGCTTCTCAGGGCTCAGTTTCCCTATCTAGACAGACAGGCTGTGCTTCCGCAGGCTGGGATGGGAAGGGGGAGCTGAGAGAGCAGTCGCCAGGGCCAGAGTGGTCGGAGGCTGCACTCCAGGGACCCCAGCAGGGCCAGAACAGAGGTCAGCTGGGGGCAGACAGGGGGTCAGGCAGGGGGCAGCCGGGCCTCGCCCTAGCACCTGCCGGTGCCCAGCAGAGCCGTTTGTTGGAGGCGCACGGCCAGGGAGGGGTCCTTACCGCTGCCACCGCTGCCTCCGGCCGCCACGCTGCGCCGCATCCACTCGTAGGGAGTCCGCCTTTGCGCTCCGGGCGAGGACGGTGCGCCCGGGCCGCCAAGGGGCTGCGCCAGGAGGCCCGGGCCAGGCCCAGGGGGCGCGGGCACCGCGCTAAAGTCCGGAGGGGGCCCGAAAGCCAGCGGGACCGGGCTGGCAGCCGGGGCCGCGGGGCCCGGGCCATAGGCGGCGGCCCAGTCGTCCTTGGGCACCGAAAAGGGCGCGCTCCAGGCCGCAGGAGGCGCGGGGGCCGGTTCCACATGCGAGTAGCCGGTGAAGTCGGGGTACTGCGGGGGCCCCGGGGGTGGCGGCCCGTAGGCTTGCGGGCCCAGGCCGAGGCTCGGGGGCCTGGCGGGGCCGGGATACACGGGCGAGTCCTTGTCCAGCACATAGCCCACGTACATGGTGGCCGCAGGGACCCCCGCGCATGCTGGGCCCGGGAGCCGCGGCTGCGGGCCGCCCCGGCGAGCACAGCTCACCTGAACTCGCCGCCCGCGGCCGGCGCCCCACCCAGCCTTTTATAGCCCCGGGCCCGCGGCCCCAGCTGGGGCGGGTTTGCATTTCAAAGCGGGGGGAGCCTCAGGGCCGCGAATCAAAGGGGGAAACCCGTCGGGGGCGGGGGGTTCAAAAGGAGACAAATTGCCACCCCAAGCGGGAGGCGGACGGGCCGGGGCCTGAAGAGGTGGGGACGCGGAGGCGCCTCCCGGGCCCGCGTCGAGGCGCGCGAAGTGGAGGAGCCTCCGGAGAGGCCGGCGGCCCAGCGGCTGGCCTGGCACCTCCATCTCCCCGAGGAGGACAGGGATCCGGGGCCGCACCGGGACTCCAGGCCCGGGGCACACAGCCACCAGGCCTGCGGCACACTCCGCAGTGACCAGCCCGAGGGGAGGGCGCAACCTGACTTCAAACAGGGCTCCTGTCTGGAAGGTAGTGGAATTCTTCATCTTTGGGGGGCAAGGGTCACGACCCTTCTGAGTCTCCGATGAAAGCTGTGGATGTTTTTGCCGGGGAAAATGCACATATGCACATACACAAGTTCTTTCAAGAGGTGGGGTAGGGGCATCTTCGGGAGGGACGTTCTAAGGAACTTCTCACAATTCTCTTGGCGATCCCCTGCCCCCTTTGTTTTAATGAGAGGTTATGCGAATGTAGAATGGTATAGTGAACCGCTAGATACCCGTCACCCAGCTCCAGCCATTATCAAGATTCCTTTCATCTCCTCCCCTTCTTTTTTTTTTTTTGCTAACGTATTTTAAAACAAATTTTAAACAGCCTGTCATTTTACCCCCACATACTTCAGCTGCAACACATGGGCATTTTCTTACATAATTTGCCATTGTCACATCTAATAAAATTAACACAAACTGCTGGGTATTATCTAGCACCCACCACTCCCAGACTGGCGAGCATTTCACCGCAACCCAAGTGGAGGGGCGGGTGGGCGGTTGAGGGGCCATGAGTGAGCTGGGAGTGGGGAACAAGGCTGAGGGAGTGGAGGAAGAACTCCTGAAGGGCAGGGCTTTGGGTGGGAAAGGCTGCAGAAGGAGGGTCAGAGCCAAGGAGCTGCTGAGAAGCCCCCTATGGGGTTTGACCTCTGACATTTCTTGGGGCCCCCAAATGTGCAGGGACATGTGGCCCCCAGAATTAAACAGAATGAGACAGAGTCTTATCTATGCAGCCTGTCTCTCCCCTGAGTCGCCACATGGGCCTGGGGCAGGTCGGCATACCTCAGGGCTAGACAGATGTGTCAGGATCAGGACACCATTGACGGGGCCCAGTGAAAAGTGACAACGTGAGATCCCTCATTCAAAAATTATTAAGGGGGAAAGATCAACCAAAGGACTTGTATGCAGGCATATAAGCCTAACCAATGGACACAGACACCAGGGCGGTGAGGGCATGAGTCAGGGGGAGGCAATGGGGGGATAAGGACACATATGTAATACCTTAATCAATAAAGAAAAAAAGTATTATTTAAAACAAAGAAAGAAAAGTATTAAGAATTTCAAGATGGCAAAAGCAGAGCGTTCAACCAAGCACAGGGCCCTTCTAAACACCGGGCCCTGTATGACTGCACAGGTGACCCACCCATGAAGCTGGCCCCAGTCAGGATCTTGTTCTGGGGCTCTGATGGACACAGAGCAGGGACAGTAGGCCCAGGGCTCCCCTTCCTGCTCAGAGGAACTCTTTCCATTATACAGGTGGAAACACTGAGGTCTAGAAAGGAAAGAGGCTGTGCCCAAGTTTATGTGCTAAAATGAAGGTTGCTCTTGGAGAGGGGAGCAGAGACTGCCTGGGTTGTGGCTGACATGGATGCAGACATGGCTGCCTCAGCAGGGAAGGCCCCCTTCCCGTGTCAGGAATTGGACGTGTTGGTAACATTTTACTCAGAAGTCATGTAAAATCTTTCACAGGGTCAGTGAGAAACTGGAAAGGTACAGAGAAAGGAGGACTGGGCTCTCCTCTCTGATCTGAGGTAACTGGGACTGCTGCGGCTGGAGGAAGAGAAAACCTGGAGTGGGACTTGAAGGTCTGAGTGTGGGGAATGGGACAGGGCAGAACTGGGACCTAAGAAAGAAGAAAGAAAGAAAGAAAGAGAGAAAGAAAGAAAGGGAAAGCTGCAGGCACAGAAATAGATTTCAACCCACCCATAATAAAGTGCTCTCTAAAGGGCCATCCATCAGGAAATGGGTTGTCATGAAAAAGAGAGTGAGCTCACCATCACAGGACGTATGTAAGTGACTGCTGGAAGTCCCTGGTCAGGGATGCTGCAGAAAAGATGCCTATCCTGGGGGTGGGAGGTGGGGTGGGAAGGTTAGTGCCCTCTGACTCCAAGAATATGCTAAATCAGATCTAAATGGAAGGCTTAAAGGTTGGGAAAAGGCATAGGTATTCATTTGTGTTCATTCATTTGACAATTATATATTAACACTCCCCCTTTGTGCTGACTCTGTTAGGTACAGGATGAGGCCCTGCCTCAGGGTGCTTACAGAATGGGAAGGGGAGATGCAGAGATGAATCAAATAATCACAAATAAAGGTAAAATTACATCTTGGTGAGGGCCAGGAATCCACAGTTTTGGCCCAATTGGAGGAGACAGGACAGTCTTGCAAGAGAAAGTGACATGTGAGTCAAGGCCCTGGGAGTAGGGAAAGACATTGTGAGCAGAAGGACAGTGTTGAGGCCCAAGGGGACACATAGTCCCTGGAACTGAAACACCAGTTTGGTGTTAGTGATGGGGGCAGGAGATGGGGGACAGGAGATGAGTCCGGAGAGGGGTGGAGCAAGGCCCAGCAGACCAGGCATGATGAAGGATGTTATCAAGGGTGAGAGTGGGACGATGGCTGTGGCTGGTGTGTGGAGAATGAGCCAGAGAAGGGCTGAGAGGGCAGAGAGCAGCATGGACACTGGGCAGGACTCGGGAGTGAGGAAGATGGTGTCCAGGACTTGGGAAGTGGCTGAGAAATGGGGGACTTCTCAGCAAAGCAGGGTCTAGTTCCCTGATCAGGGAGAGTGCAGAGCCAGGGAGCCCTGAGGTCTTAGGGGAGCCACCCCAGTTGCTCCGTGGTCCCCTCAGTGCTGTCCTCTCTCAGAGTGAAGGCTGGACTTCCCTCCTATTCTCCACACACCCCTAGGGTGAGCCTCCCCACCCCCTGCTCCCCAGGCTGCTCTTTCCTGAGCCCTGGGTGTAGGGAAGGATGGAGCAAATTCGTTCCATTTGCTGGGTGATGAAAGGAAGCACAGAGAGGTCCAGGTACCTGGCCAAGGTCACACAGGTATAGGGCTGCGAACAGAAGCTGGGTTTCCTGACCTCACTGGCCATCCTCAATGCCCAGATTACCTGAGGGGTCCTCAGCCCAGCCCTGCGGATCCTCCAATCCACCTAGGGTGGCAGAGCAGGGGCGGTCTGGATCCAGAGCATCCTGACCATGGAAGACCCTCAGAGAGCCAACCCGCTCACTTGACAGCAACATGAAGGCCCAGAAGCTTACACGAAGGTGGGTTTTCCTATGTCCCCACAGCAGGTCAGTGCTGTACTGGAAACAGACCCAGGTATTCTGACCCCCAGCACAGTGCCCCTCCACGGCATCTCTGAGATGGCAGAGTTGGACCCTTTACCTGCCTGGGTAATAATAACAATAGAATGACTATTTATTGAGCATCAGTAAGTGCCAGGCACTATGCCAAGTAGTTTGCATGCACAGGTCTCCCCCACTTTTTGAAAGTTCACTTTATACCACTTTGCTTTTAGGAAAGACCTACATTACTACCTGGTTTTGCTAAGGGACAGATAGAGGATTTTCGCTTTTATGAAAAAGGCAAAGAATCAAGTAGCTTTCAGCATTTGTTTTGCCATGAGCCCTTAGAGGGGCAGTGTGTACCCTGAGCAGGGAGGGTGGCCTCACCAAGCTCCTTCCCCAGGAGCTACGCTCAGCATCTCAGCATCAAGCCATCGCAGCTTTGCTCTGTGTCTTAAGTACCTGTGCTTCATCCCAATCTATTTTGTGCATCCGTTAGTAAGATGCATCCTAAGTAATTGCTTCTCTGCTTTAAGCTACTTCTGCTTAAGAAATGTTTCATAGGAACGTTCTACTTTCCGATGGGGGTGGGGACCTGTATCATCTCAGTTCATCCTCCATGAGATAGAGTTGGATTGTTATCTCTGTTTTGCAGATGAAGCACCTGCAGCTCAGAGAAGTGAAGTCACCTGCCTGAGTGCCAGGAGCCGGTCCATCCTTGCTGTTTCAAGGGACCTGGCATATATGGCATACTGTTCTTAATATGTTTTGCTAACCTTCTTGGCACTATGTGTTTTAACCAAGGTCTCTGAGAAAGGTTGTTTCCCCAGGTAGGGATTTTCCCCTGAAGTTAGGGAGGGAATAAAACCCCTCAACTAAGTGCCAGGCGGGTAATTAATCACTTTAACTATGAACAATCATGCTTAAGCTACATAATCTTTACTCCCTGGAATGGAGATAAGAAATGCCCTAACCTTTGTAATAGAGATTGATAGGATTGGAATCAACTGGTATAAATACAGTTGTAAGAACACAGAACTTAGAACACAGAACTTAGATTGAGAGAACATGGCAAAAGATCCTGGACTGAACCTGACTACAGAAATTGGCAAGAGAACCTGACTAGAACCTGGTGACTGAACCTGGCTGGAGAACCTGGACAGAACCTGGCTAGAGAACCTAGCGAGGGAACATGGCTACAGAACCTGGCTGGAGAACCTGGAGAACCTAGCAAGAGAACATGGACACAGAACCTGGCTGGAGATCCTAAGCAGAACTTGGCTGGAGATCCAGACCAGAACTTGGCTGGAGATCCTGGCTAGAGATCCTGGCGAGGCTGCTGATCAACTGAACACTGCCTCCGTGTCCTTCCTTCTTCACTGACTCCA